ACAGAGCCGGAATCAATGTGCTTATCAAAGAGATGGCAGCTTGTACAGTCTATCAACAAACAATTCTGGAAGTGTTGGTCTTCTGATTACCTACAACAGCTTCAAATAAGATCTAAATGGAGAACTCAAAGCAAGAATATCGAAATCGATGACATCGTCTTGTTGAAGGAAGAGAACTTGTCACCTGGAAAGTGGGCAATGGGCAGAGTACATGAGCTACACCCAGGCAAGGATGGGCAGGTCAGGGTCGTATCATTGAAAACAAAAAACAATATAATCAAAAGACCAGTTATCAAGTTAGTACCTTTAGTATCACAGGAGAAAAAAGAAAATGTATCATCAACACATCCTGATCTGGAGGAACCATCGCGCCCTACGTCTCTTAAAACTAATGTCGGTAGACGAAGTAGTTTCAAGAATTTCATTTTCTGCCTCTTCACATTCATATCACTTTTTATATCTCCAAGCCAACAACAAGGACAACAAGATTTTTCCATTACGCCAATTAATAATAATCAAAGCATTTATTTTGACAGAATATCAAATCTTCAACACATAAGAGATGAGTGGAACCTTATTATATATTATAATATGACTACTTATTGGCAAGGTCTAAATAGTATACAAAATTACGTCACTCATATCAAGGAAAGTTGTTCGTCCAACGATTATCAAGGTGTCAATTTGCAACTGCAACATGAGCTTAACGAAATATATCATTATAATCAGCTGTTAAGAAATCAATTTCACAAAAGGACAAAAAGAGGATTAATTGATGGTGTTGGATACATTGCTAACTCACTTTTTGGTGTCCTAGATGAAAGGTTTGCCGAGCAATATCAGAAAGACATAGAGCATGTAATGCAAAATGAGAATCAACTGCAAGCCTTGCTCCACAATCAGACCATCGTAATGGAGGCCGAATACAACATATTGAAGAGACACGAGAATATCATGCAGAAACAGTTTTCACTTATTCAAAATCATATCAAAAATGTGACTGCAGAAGTAGATAGAGTTCGTTTAGACACATCACATGCAACGTATATAACATTTTCGTCATTGGCAGCTCATATTATCATTTCCAATATTCGACGTATTCAAGAAACCCTTATTAGTACAGTGACGGATATAAATGAAGGCCGTATTAATACTAACTTCTTATCACCAGATCAGCTGCAAAAACAAATCAATATAATATCAGGTCGCTTACAAAGGGATCTCGTTCTACCATCGGATGGATCAAATATCATTCATTTTTATAAGTTACTGAGAGTTGCTGCGAGAGTTACGGATAAATTTCTAATTATTGAAATTAAGATACCTATCTTAACTAATGAAATTTTTGAATTAGACAAGATCATTAACATCCCTCAAAAAAGGGTGAACGATATTATCATTTGATTTCGAAATTCCCTTATATTGGGTTTAATATTAACAAGGATTCATTAATATTTTTATCAGATTTGGATCTTCAAGCTTGTCGACATTTATCAACGGAAACATTATTGTGCTTTTTACATAGCCCTATCTACACTACAAAAATTAAACAATCCATTTGTGATATCAATTTAATTGAAGGCGGCTCTGATTTATCGCCGTGCACGACAGAGGTATCATCTTGCAAAGAGAGCTGGATCAAGTTGCACGCCGGTAACGAGTGGTTGTTTACATGTTGTGAGCAATGCAGTGTCCGCATAATTTGTCCAGCTGGAATTACGTCACAGGCATCGACAGGTAGCGGGGTCATTCACTTAGGTGCTATGTGCACGTTGAAGGGCAATGATTTCATATTACACTCACATAACTATTATTCAAATAAAATGAATATAAATCAAAGATTAGAAATACAGCATTTCTCCGTTCTGAATGATATAATGAACACTTCTTATATCAACATCCCAAAGCTTGAAAATCATGAGAAAGAATTTAATTTTCATCCCACCACCTCGGAAAGTGTAATTTTGCGCTTCGAAATCTGGCTGGAAAATTCTATTTTATTCGCTTGAGCGGCAAAGTAGATTTGAATTTAGAACATCACATATAATGAGTACTCAATATAATTGTAAATTCAAAACGTCATTAAACCTATTTAATGTAACCTCTATGGTGCCAAATTTATGATTAGAACTTTTTAAATTGTGAAAAAATTTAAATTTGGAACCTTCTTGGTTTCTTTGTTTTATTTGCGTGCTTCGCGCCATTCTAGTTTTTCACGTTTTATTGCTTAATATAATTAACATAACCTAAAAACTGTACAAAAAAATCAACTAAAATGAGTGACATTAGCGACGATGAAGTTTATCTAACGCCAACTGAGTTAACTGAAACAGTTAATAATGCGCAAATGAGCCTTCTCCCTCAGCAATCACGAGAGAAGTATTTGAAACAGTACGATATATTTAACATGTGGCGACTAGCTAAAGGAGCAAAAACTTTCTCCGAAAACGTTTTGCTGGCATATTTTATAGAATTATCTGAGACCAAGAAAGCAAGCACGCTATGGAGTACGTATTCAATGCTAAAATTAACAATTAAGATGAAGAAAGACGTTCATATCGACACCTATCATAAATTAGTGGCATTTTTAAAAAGAGCCTCATCTGGTTATAAACCAAAAAAATCGAAGGTTTTCACAGCATCTGAAATTGCAAAGTTTATTAATGAAGCACCTGATTCCGTATATTTAGCGGCAAAAGTAAGTCAATACGTGTAATTTTTTGTTGTTGATAAAATTGTACATAGTACTTACAATATTTTTAATTTGATTAATTTATTTACGATTATAAATACTTCTTTTGTTACAGGTTGTTCTTATTATTGGTATAACCGGAGCATGTCGAACAAATGAACTTACACTACTTAATGTCAATAACGTATCAAAATATTCTCATAATTCTGATGAATTGCTATTAATTAATGTACTAAATACCAAGACAAAAAAAGACCGCAACTTCGTTATTCGCAAGGAATATGTAAACATTGTTCAGAAATATCAAGCTTTACGTCCTTCTAACACCCCAATTGAACGATTTTTTCTACAATATCGCAACGGAAAGTGTATCCGACAACCTATGGGTCAGAATAAAATTGGCAGTATTCCACGAGAAATAGCAACTTTTCTCGGACTTTTAGAACCCCCGTTATACACCGGTCACTGTTTTAGAAGAACCTCAGCCACACTTTTGGCCGAATCAGGGGCTGATCTTCTATCGCTTAAGCGCCATGGAGGCTGGAAGTCTAATTCGGTTGTAGAGGGATACATAGAGGATTCAATCCAAAGTAAATCAAAAATTTGTAATAGTATCGTGGAGGCCATAACGCTGAAAGAACCTCTGTCAGATTCTTGGTCTCGCCCTTCTACATCTAAAATGAGCCCCCATAAGATTGGAAACAATAGCCCTCTCTCGCCAACATTTACGCCAATAGAATCCAATGAATCGGCACAACTATTTAAAATTACTGATACGAGTAGTTTACCACAAAACAGCGCACAATTCACAAACACCAACATAACATTACCTAACAAAAATATTAAACTTAACATAAGTAACTGTAGCAACGTTACATTTAATATTTCTTAATTATTTTCTACTTCTTATTATTTTCTTCAATTTATAGATTATCTTAATGTGTTTTAATTGAAATAAAAATATTTTGTCATTATAAATTGTTTTCTTTTTCATTTTGTCATTTCCTCGCTGAGGTGGGATGAAAAGTTACGTATTGCACTCGAGTGGAAAGATTTTTCACCTTGTGCTCGTTTGTTTCCCTCGCTGACGCTCAGGATTCTAATTTAGAATCACTCGCTGCGCTCGTGATTCAACTTTAGAATCCTTCGCTTGCTCGGTCATCCAAATCGAGCACGCGGTTAAAAAGGAACTTTCCACTCTTGTATAATAAATAACTATTATTGAAGGCACAGATATCTGACGTAAAGGAACAATCAAATAGCGAATTGCAAATGCATGACGTTCATCATTATAGCCTTGGCTATATCATCGTCGGGTTGCTTCTGCTGACGGCGGGCATCATCGTGTTCCGACGGTTGCGTCAGCGGCGTCGGTCGGCGGGCGCGAAGGCATCCCGCGAGACGCGGGAGGCTGGCACTGCCGCCACCGCCACCGATACAGGTGACAGTGTTAGTGATCATGTGAATGTGCCGGGTAAATGTGAAATTAGTGAAGTGGTACTGAATGTGTCGGGTATTAAAAATATGCCAAGTGAACTCAGACAATCAGTGTTAAGTGTCGATAAAGCCACATCTATCTCTCCTATAATGAACCGTTCTGTCAAGTTTAATATTTTAGAAGATTAGGAACTATTACGTAATCTTAACTTTTTTTTACATAATGTTTTTACACTATTTTTATTTGATTTTTGTATATTCTTTATTACTTTGGTTTTGTCGATATCATTGTAAAGGTAACTTAGCTGACTTTAGCTTCTAATCACATCTTGTAATGTCCTTTTTCCTGGAGGCGCAGGATGTACGAGTTACCGATCGTACATAGGTTTTTGTTTATGTGTAAGTACATAATTTTAAGGTCGTGCCGCCGCGTTTCGTAAGCGTGTGCAATTTGTGCAATAATGTTTAATTACCTATATGAAATAAATCAGTGACAATTTAGCACTCTAAAGGGACGGTTTTATTTATCATCACCCAATCGTTCTTACTTATCAGTATCAATTATCATTTTCTATTAAATGTAAGAAGGCTTACGCATTACCCCTTACATTTGCTCTGGGTAAGTAAAAATATTTTGCTGTGACCACATGTAGGTGTTTAAAGAGCAAAACTAGGTTGTAGGTGATTAGGGGTTTCAAACCTAATGCATTCTATGTTGTAGTTAACTTTAGCAATAAATGAATGTTACAGTATTATTTTTAGACTAACTGCAGTTTAAGTTTAGTCACTATCACTATTTTGTAATAAGGATAAATCTAATTAATTATGGCAAAATTCTTTTACATAATTTATGTGAGATTTTTTTTTATAGATCACCACAGACACCCTAAATATGATTGTGAAGCGACAACCTGATATCGCTTGGAACTTTTCTGTGTCACCGATGGAGAGTATTGAGCATTATGCTGTATTATGCTATGACCCGGAAGAGGTTAATCTGGAGGCTACTTTCAATGTTGAGAAAGTGAAGTCTGAATTGGATTTCGAAGAGATGCAGGATGAAAGTGAAACAGGTATTTGTTATTTGTATGTATGTCAACCTCCAGGATTTCGAAGTTTGTGTGATAAACCCTTAAACTACTCAAAGATCCTGGGTTCGAATCCTGGTGGGGCAGATGTTTGTATGATGAATATGTACGAACTATTTGTACCTAAGTTATGGCTATTTATATATTATTTTATGTAAAGAAGTTCTATTCATTACATGTCATCATTGGATGTCAAGTGGTCCACATACTAGAAAGTCGGAGAAACTAAGGGAAGTTCAAGTCTTTGGTTATATACACCCTAGATACCGCATTCACTCGCACACATTGCGCGTGTGTAGGCACGAGCGACACAAACAGAAGCCGTGTTCTTTGCGTGATTTATTTGGATTGCTCACACACACCGACAAACCAAATAATTTGACAAATCAAATATCTGCAAATTAATTCGGCTATCCATTCATTGGGTAAGATCATGTCATAAAGAAGGGTTATGTATACCAATTTGCAAATGATACATGTCTACTAGTGGCCAACAGGAACATAAATCTTTCATAAACCGTTATGCAGGAAAGCTTTGATCAGTGATGTAAGTGGGAACATGATGTAGGATTGGTGATAAATGAGCAAGAAACTAAAATAATTAACATACACTCAGCACATAACAGGACACCTGACACACCAACCATCATAATCATTTATTTCGTAATAAGTTACACGTCAATCATAAAATTTAGAATAGAAATACATAACTATTAACTAAACTTTCAATGAATTCAAAAATGTTAAAATTCAATTCCTATGCCAACCTCAAATTATATTAAAATACAATATTTATACTTAAATATAGTTAAATGTCACAAACAAATTACAATACTAAATCAAAAAAATATGAATAATAAATAGTCATTAAATATTATAGAAAAATATAATAACAGGTAGAATAGGCAGTTTATTTAATGCTTTTATAAATTAAGGATTTATCATTCAAAAACTCATCAACACTATAAAAAGTTCTATCAATGAGCCATAACTTTAATTTATGTTTAAAAATATGAGACTTGGCGTCAGTGACCAACTTTGGTAACAAGTTATATACCGTCGAACCCATGACATGAGTTAGCATGCTCGATTTGACCAACGTTCTCTGCTCACTGGTCAGCTTATTCGCAATTCGAGTATAGTGTGAATGTTCGTCACTGTTTTTACTGTATGATTGTAAATTAGTCCGCACAAATAAAGCAACTTCAAAGATTATAGACGGAAGAGTTAAATTCCGAGTTCTTTGAAATACGACCGTGCTGATTCATCCGTCCTTATTTTAACAATCGCACGTATGGCCCGTTTCTGCATTCTGAAAGCTCGCCTCCAGTCAGCAGCCCGCCCCCATAACTCTGCGCCATACTGTAACAAGGAATGGACTGTTGCGAAATAACACGTCCGAACCACTTCCCTCGACATGTGCCTCGACAATCTGTTGAGGGCGTAGCAAGCTCCACCAAGCTTACCACACGTGTGATCAATATGGCCTTCCCATGTAAGACCCTTATCAATAACAAATCCCAGAAAGGTGGTTTTGTCGACCTGTTCTATTTGTATAGTTCCTACTTTAACAGCCAGCTCTCTAGTCGTCTGTCCAGACAAATTGATATGCATGAAGTATGATATAATAATAATATTTCCAACACTCACACCAATTAACCTAGCCCTGTAAGCACTGTAAGGCTTGTGTTACGGGATACTAGGGTAACGGATATAATACATATACTGTACATATATAAGTATATTTATATAGAAATACATATTAAACATCCATGACTGGAGTACAAATGCTCGTATTCATCACACAAACATCTGCCTCCACCGGGATTCGATCCCGGGACCTCTCGAGTCGGCTACAGCCATGAAACCTGGCAGACCACTCGGCCACGGAGGTCGTCAAAAAGGTGTTATGGTGAAGTTAGGTACGAGGTCATTGCATTCGAACCACTCCGCAAGCTGACTCGCTGTGCAGCTTAATTCATGTTCCAACCTGTCTATTGTGGTCGCAGTGACTACTGCAGCCACATCATCTGCATACATGAATACTTCCGCATTTTTTATTGCAGCAGGAAGATCATTCAATAGAAGCCAATCATTTATACTATTTTATTATTTGTTTGGTCCTACAGAAATACTTACAATTTTTTATTTGTTTAATTTTGGTATACCAAATGATGGTCATTAAAAAATAAAGTAATATTTACAGAAGCAAAAATGCCCAAGAAACATAAGCCGACCAGTGAAATTAACAAGGAAAAACAACTCAAGCCTCCAACAGCATCAAGAGCAACCGAAGAAAACACAGGAATAAAAAATGAAGCTCAAATTGGTGATCCAAATAGAATTACAGAAATCAAAAGTAAGGACAGTCTCTTGAAACCAAATATTTTCACAGAATATAGTTACGAAAACAACAACATGGTGAAGAACAAACACAACAAAGTTACAAATCATAGAGTAACTTTTATATGTGCAATATGTAAAAATATATTTTTTTGTAAAAAACAATTACAAAGTCATATAAGTAAATCACATACTGAAATTACCGCCATAACTAACCAAAATTATACTATGACTAATGAAATAAACTTAATTGATAAAAATAAATTAGGGAACAATATTGGTTCTGCAATGACAAGCAACCGTGAATATTCGATAAATAAACGCGATATGAAGAAAGACCTGAAAGAAAGACCATATAAATGTAACACCTGTGACAAAAGATTTACTCATGTTAGTTCTTTATACAGACATCAAAGAATTCACACGGGAGAGAAACTTTATAAATGTAATGTCTGTGATAAAAGATTTTCTCGAACTGGTGATTTCTACACACATCAAAGAATTCACACAGGTGAGAAACCTTATAAATGTAACATCTGTGATAAAAGATTTACTATGAGTAATAATTTGTCCAAACATCAAAGAATTCACACGGGTGAGAAACCATATAAATGTAACATCTGTGATAAAAGATTTACTCTAATGGATCATTTAAACAAACATCAAAGAATTCACACAGGTGAGAAACCTTATAAATGTAACATCTGTGACAAAAGATTTACTCATGTTAGTTCTTTATCCAGACATCAAAGAATTCACACGGGAAAAAAATCTTACAAATGTAATGTCTGCAATAAGGGGTTTACTGTAAGTAGTTATTTAGCCAAACATCAAAGAATTCACACAGGTGAGAAACCTTATAAATGTGACACCTGCGATAAAAGATTTACTATGAGTAATAATTTGTCCAAACATCAAAGAATTCACACGGATGAGAAACCATATAAATGTAACATCTGTGATAAAAGATTTACTTTAATGGATCATTTAAACAAACATCAAAGAATCCACACGAGAGAGAAACCTTATAAATGTAATATCTGTGATAAAACATTTACTCAATCTAGTCATTTATCCACACATAAAACAACTCACACGGGAAAGAAACTGCATACATGAATACTTCCGCATTTTTTACGGTACGCTCATACTAGCATCAAAACATATGCTCCGACTCAACTACATAAGCAACTCTCACACACGCACGCTTCTGTATAAAAACATTCAATGGAGCGAGCGAGACAGAACGTCGTCCGCATCGCTTTTCAGCCGTCTTTTCTCTCTCTAGAAACGTCTGAGCTGTATTGTTGTTCTTTTCTTGATAACAAATAGCGAATATAAGTAGGGACATAAATATTATTCACTTCAAACTGTGATTTCTGAGAAAAAAATATTTTATGGTTTTACGAATGCCAAGTGTTGCCGTGGAATTTGTTATTTAATCTTGAACAATTTGTGTTATTTTTAAAACGCTAGCTTTTAACTGCAATTAAAAAAAATGTCGTTTTGTAGAAAAATCAATTCCCAATCCTAAGTAAAAATACTTATTACACAGCAAAATAATCACCTCAAAATATTTTTATATTAGTTACAATTTGAGTTCGTGATGCATCGCTATTTATTCACAACTAAAGCTTTTTTAAGAATGCATATCAAATAATAACCACCTCACAAAAAATCTATACATATTTTTTTTAAACAATGCTGCCATATTTTTATCTCTTACAGCAGTTTACCTATTATAAGTGAAACACCATTTTAATTGACATAAGAATCTAATTATTTATTTATATCGTTACAATGAGATGAACTATAACATCTGATACAAAAAGTAACGTCTACTTTTCGGTAAATAAAGCAGGTCTTGCTCTAGCGGGACGTCCACGCTTCCTTTTTTCCTCTGCAGGTACTGCTTGAGCGAGACCGCAAGGCCCATGAAAAGCTTGCATTTATAGTTTTTGAAAAAATGGGTCAGGTTCATTTACCATTCACCCAGGCACTTTGCGTGGCGTGGGCAAGACAACTGTCCAATATGCAAAAGCATTCATTTGTTGTTGCTCCTGTTGCAAAAATCATTATTTTGTTATGAGTGTGAGTATAATGCTTCAAAGCTCTGGTTAATATTCTGTGCAAACGGTATATTTGCTGTGCAATCAGTATATTTGATATGAAAATCATATTTATGTACAATTAAACAAATTATTAGCACTTGAGGAAAAGTTGTACTACATATTAGATGTATATTTTTGAATTATTTTTAGCACTAGTTTTGTTCAACAAATGTTTTGTTTGCAGTAAAATAATTATTTTGATGTAAAAGGTATTTAATATATGTAAACAAATTGATGGATGATAAGTTATTTGCTGTGCATTTAAAAATATCCCCTTTTAAGAGCATCGAAGGCATTGTTTTATCGTCATAACACAGAATATACCTAATATTGTTATATTGAGTGCACATGCAGCGTCTTTGAATGTCCAATTGTGACTAAAGCGAATTATGGTCATGCACCACAAGTTCGGCGGATATCTTTTGAGCCGCGAGTGCCGTATCTTCCCTTTTTGTTTTAATCTAAGTAATAATAATAATTTATGTGCTTTAAAACACGGTATTATAAGTTGGTACAAAATTAATACTCGACGTGAGACGCATCAGGTCTCATGTTGACATCACAAAAATCACTTTTTGAGACAAGTAAAAGATCTTCGAGCTCTTTCTAACATACTAACAATTGTGTTTCATTCACTTTTCTTTGTGTAGTTTTCGAATTTCATAAGGTCGTCTGTCGCAAAATTACTAAATTAAATCGAGGAATACAGTATCACATTAACTTCATGTGCTTCTAAATATTTTGTTACAAAGGAACGCTTTTAGACATGCTATTTTTTGACAACGACATTTGAAATTGACAACGTGAACAAGTCTATTTCTAAGGTAGTCCACTGGTTTAATGTTAATAATTTACTGCTAAATGAAGGGAAAACTAAGTTACTAAATTTGTTTTACCTAAATTCAAACAGGTAAATGTAAATATAAAGGATCGAAATGTGAGCCTTGTAGATACCACAGTGTTCTTAGGAATCACTAGATTCAAGTACAGTTTGTCTATAAAGTCGTGACATGAATGTTTGAGGAACTAACATTATTCATGTGTCTGGCAACACCAAACTTATGTACATCAGCTGTCATCGAGTTTCAGTTGTGGAACAGTTTTCCTTTTTTATTTGTTATTGTTTGGATTAAACTGTAATAAATTAAGTCGAAACTACGCAGAAAGGTATAAAAATGAGTAAAGTAAATCGGAGTGGCACGCGGGAAGTTATTTATAAAGTTTTCCAGCGATGTTTCGAAGACTACCAAGCTGGACAAATTTTGTGGTATTTGGATGATGTTTATTGGCGAACAGCATCTATAACGGGTATGTAATCGTGTAACTATTTGTTTGTAATCTGCCTGAAGTTACAAATTTACTCAATTTAAAAGGCATTGTTTACATTGCACATTTTTAGGTTAGATTGACATTGTAAATAGGTTATATTGTAGTACGACCATTTCTTTTGATACGTTATTATGGTTCAACTCGGTCAGGTTTTCTACCAATTTTCAATTAATTGCTTCATGTCCAATAAGTAATTGTTTCTATTCCGTTACATATTTTTTTACTTTTTTTTTTTCAGGAAAATCAGAGAGTCGGATAGTCAACGAAGGTTTTAAGAATGATGGAAAGTTTGAAACTCCTGGGAAAACAGGCAAGGCCGACCAAAGAAAGAAATGATCACATAAAGAACCAGGGCCAGATGCTTTTAGTGAAGATACCTATCACTAATTTTACTAACTGTACATTTAGAAATTGTTTCTCTAAATAAACTTTAAAATGATTTTTAGTATTATTTTCTTAACAAGTGTGTTAAAAACGTCGTATGATGAATCTTGTGTGTATTGATGATTACCTAACGGCTCTGGACTCAATGGCACCTCAGCGGTAATCACCAACATTACACACTTTTACACTATAAAGTACTATTTTATCTATAATAATTTTATTCTGATTCAATTAAATATGCTTGACTAAACTTTTTATAAGCATAGGTACCTACTATATATAAAACAGAAACAAAATACGACTGTATAGTGCGTCTTATTAATTACCTACTTTACTTGAATGAACTGCTAGTATCAAAATCATTTTGGTCCGACTGTATAGGGTTGCTACATGCATACTAGTGGCGCTATCATTTAATGTCACGACTTTATGGACAAACTGTTGCAATGGGGCCCACATACTAAAAATTGTCGAAGAGACTTAGTTCTGCAGCATATGCTAATGTGTAATGTAATAATGAAAATAGGTACGTCGGTTAACGGATATAGAAACTGCCAGATTAGTCTACTTTAGTTGTTTTCATAGTGTAATGTCTTACGGTATTTTACTGTGGGTAAATTAAAAAAATAGGGAAATACCGCCGACATTCAAACAATATTTGTGTTGCAGAAGCGGGCTATTCAATCAATTTATAATCTTAAAGATGAGGACTCCTTAAAATATAAGTTTAAAGAAATAGGCATAATGACGGTTGCATCACAATACATATATGAAAACTTAGTATTTGTCAAAAAAAAATATTAGTTTATTTACTAAAAAATAGTGAAATACATACACTTAATACTAGAAATAAAAATAAGTTAACTTTACCTGCTACTAGGCTCCACAAAATTAATAATTCGTTTAGAAGTCTCTGTGTTCGCTTTTACAATAAAGTCCCAAGCAATATTCAAGAGTTAAGCCTTACTAAATTTAAATCGACTTTAAAAATCTCTTGTTAAGAAAGCTTATTATAAAATGTCTGATTATATTCCAGACAAAAATGCTTGGGTTTGAACTTTTCCAACCATTCCAACGGGTATTTCTATATGATGTATATTATGAATCATGTGTTGACGATACTTCTGTTGAATTTAAAAAGCTGTATTTAAAGTTGATTACTTAAGGAAGAATATCAGACTATTTAAGAAGATTTGAATGACAAAATGACATGATTTCTCCATTGTTTTTGCTTTGTAATTGTTTGCAGTGTCCTACAGATAAATAACTTTAATTTTAAGTAAATATGTTGTGGTTGATATAGGTGGTTATGGGTAGTCATGCTCTCTTAAAAGTCTCTTCGGTGGTGTCGTGTGAGGCGGGTCATTACGTTCCCTAAAATATGGTTGAGCGGAGCGATGGCTGGTTCATGCTTCATGCTCGTGAACGGGTGCTGCCAGCGGAGATGAGTCTGCCCTTACTTTGATATTTAAGATGTAAATGTTTAATTACACCTATTATAAATAACTCTGTTTGTATTTATACTGTGTGACACAGCAATCAAAATGCAGGTGAACAATTAATGTATAATTTTACATTATGTAATGAAAGGTGACTTCATGAATCATCTCTGAAGTAATTTTTCAACTTGGCGACTCTGTAAATAAATAAAACAGGGGAAAAAAAACAGTCCTTGCTGAGTTTCCTGCCGGTTCTTCTCAGTACAAGGTCTCCCGCCGTAGATTTACGAACCGATGGCGTAGCTTCTAGACATTTATAATATGTGCTTGTAGAAGCCTAAACTGAATAAATGATTTAGATTTTGATTATGAAAGAAAACAAACAAATTAACGACAGCACTGTAACAAGAACCGGCGGAAAAAAAGCGCGGGAAATTTCGGTTTGGTTGGTCGTAAATATTTTATAAAATTATTTTTTTAATGTAAATGGGATCAGTTAATGTTTATATTTTACTTTATTTTTATCTATTTAGTGTACATATTATATTTTTCATCTTATAGTTGGTTAGTTATACGAGGGGAGGTCAATAAGTTCGCGGTATTGAGGTGTTGGTGGGGGTAGGTTAACTTGTCCAAGTAGGCACTAGTTGAACACCTCATTAAGAGTATATATACCAAGTTTGAACCTAATCGGGTCATTTGGACTGTACTTACGACGCCGCGCACGGATCTTTCCTACACCTACAAGTGCTCCGTCGGAAAGCTGTGCTTTCCTGCTCCGTGAGCACTGCCTCCGCGCCAGCGTGGATTCCATACCCCCCCTGCTGCAGGCCTGAGCGCGCCGCACGGCGCCGCTCGGACAAGAAGATCGCGAGCCCCACTTGCCGCACTATGGACGAAGACGACCAGCCCCCTCCCACCCAAACCGAGGAGGAGATGGCACGCAGCTGTGCCCGCTATTGTGCA